TTTTTTTTTTTTTTTTTTTTTTTTTTTTTCTTTTTTTTTAGGGGGAGAGGTCATGACCCTTACTCGATGTATCTAACTTTCTTCCAACTTAGGCTGTTGAGATGCGGTTTCGACCAATTTTCAATGAATCAGAAGAGGAAACTTATTATGTAATATACACTGCAGAAGGGGAAGGGGGTCATGGCCCCTCACCTTGCCCAATCACAATTACTAATTGTCTTCCAGGTTCAGCTATTAAAATGTGGTTTGGACCAATCTATATTGAATCAAAAGTGAAAACTTATTTTCAATTTTATGAAGAGGAAGGATGTCATAGTCCCTCGCCCTCCCCCCCCCCCTNCCCCCCCTTTGTCAGGGGACAGTGTAGTCTGTAAGCAAATGGAATAGCTCAAGACACTTGTAACTGGATGTCTAATTTGGCGGTTTTTTGAGGATTTTCTACAAAGCAACTGAAATAAGATTCAAAATTTCATGTGCCTTTGCCTTCTAAAAATTCATTAAAGGCACCTGGGGTCTTCAGATTGACTTGAATCTTTGTGAGAGGATAGTCTTGGCTTTAAACAACCGAAAAAGCTCAAGAAACTTGTACCTGGATGTCAAATTTAATAGTTTCTTAAGGGATTTTGTACATATCAGCTGAAATGAGATTCAAAATTTCTTCCACGTGCAACTCTAAAAATTCATCAGAGGCAGCTGGGGTCTTCAGATTGACTTGAGACTTGGTGAGAGGACGGTTTTGGTTCTAAGCAAGTGAAAAAGCTCAAGAAACTTGTATCTGAATACCAAAATTGGCGGATTTTTTTTAGGGATTTTCTACGTAACAGCTAAAATGAGATTCAAAACTTCTTGACTTTAAATTATTTGAAAAATTCACTAACATTTTTTGCTTCAATTTTATGTTTTGAAACTTTCAGAAACGTAATAGATTACTATAGAACCAAAAATGTCCTCCCCCTCTCAGCTCAAATGGACTTATACGGCTGTACTGGTTTGGAAATGGGAGAAGAGAAAAAAGAATGTCATAGAACTACATAAAACCAATTGTTTGCCAAATCATAGTCTATATTGAAGAGTAAGAATAAATGAGATATAGTGGACAACTGCTAAATGATGTTACTTAAATAGTTCATAAAAAGTATGTTGATGACGGATTTTTTTTATATCTGTCACATGTATATTACCATGTCGTCCTGCGGAAAAATAAGTAAATAAGTAAAAAAAAAAGTATACTGGATGACGGTAGTAAATATAGGTAATAGATGTAGATACAGGTAAACTAGACAAAAGGTAAATTTTAGAAGTTTCCTCAAAATTTCCTCCACTCCAAATTTCTTCAAGTTCTTTTTGAGATCTGTTTTAAAGAGGTTGTTACAGTTCCTAATAGAAGTGAGCGGACAACCCATTTTTCTCAAATTTTCGGACATCTCAGACCATGATCTACAACTCTTCGAAATTTTAGAAAAATCGGCTCTCCTCTCACATCATATAGAAACTGTAACAACCTCTTTAAAATTTTCTTGAAAAACTTTCCTGCAGTTCTCTTTGGAACTTCCTCCAAACCTTTCCTGAGGAACAAAATGACAATGTTTTCTAAAGACTGGTCGTAAGGAAGTCTGGAAGAGATTTTACTTTAGTGGGTCAGTGAAATTGAGGCCGAATGGGTCTGCTTTTTCATTTACCGTATCAGTGATAGGTTCACTTAATGTGAAAACAGGTTCTTCTCGGTTCAGGGAGTTTTTGAGGATGATACAAAATACAAAGGGAGATTTTTTGAGGTTGAGTGGGAGAAGTTTGGAGCTTGGAAAAACTCGAAAAGGTTTCAGAAAAAATGAATCCCTGCAGCTATAATTTAACAAACGCAATGAGTAGGTCGCAACAGTTAATAGAATAGCACATCATTATTGCTGAGCAAACACTTTTGAGTACCAGAAAACTGGTAAATAATAAATAGAAGATAGTACTAAATAACTGAAAATAAAAAATTGGAAAGTATAAAAATAAGAAAGTATAAAAATAAGAAAGTATAAAAATAAGCAAGTATAGAAATAAGAAAGTGTAAAAATAAGAAAAAGTTTCAAAATTCTTAAAGCCACTTTTTAGCATGCTACTTACAACTTTCTTGACTTGAAATTTCAGTCTTTTGAGCTCTGGTAAATGACGCATAAACAAAACTAAATAATCAAAAATAAAAATAAGAAAAATTTCAACATTCATAGAGCTACTTTTTAGCACGCTAATTGCAATTTTCTTTACTTGAATGTGACCTCTGGTAAATGACAAATAAACAAAACTAAATAACTCTAAATAAAAATAAGACAAATTTCAACATTCTTAGAGCCCCTTTTCAGTACCCTACTTACAACTTTCTTGACTTGAAATTTCAGCCTTCTGACCTCTGGTAAATGACGAATGACAAAACTAAATAATTAAAAATAAAAATAAGAAAAATTTCAACATTCATAGAGCTATTTTTTAGCACGCTACTTGCAATTTTCTTGACTTGAAATTTCAGTCTTCTGACCTCTGGTAAATGACGAATAAACAAAACTAAATAATCAAAAATAAAAATAAGAAAAATTTCAACATTCTTAGCGCCACTTTTTAGCACACTACCTACTACTTTCTTGACTTGAAATTTCAGTCTTTAGAGCTTTGACAAATGACAAATAAACAAAACTAAATAACCATAAATAAAAATAAGACAAATTTCAACATTCTTAGAGCCACTTTACAGCACGCTGCTTACAACTTTTTCGACTCAAAACCTAAGTCTCTTTAGCTCTAGTAAATGACAAATGAACAAAACTATATGACTAAAAATAAAAGTTCCAAAGAGTTTGAGAATATGAAAAAGTCTCAAAATTCTTCGAGCCACTTTATGACGCGTGATTTGGAACTTCCTAGACTTGAAATCTAGTTTTTTTACGTCTGGTAAATGACGAATACACAAAACTGAGTAACTAAAAATAAAAATACTGAAAAGTATAAGAATACTAGCGATTAAAAATGTAAAGTTTTAAATAAGTAAAAGTTAAAGCATTGTACTAGCTGAGGAGGAACATTTCTTCTTTTGATAAGTTCAAAGTGAAGACAGACTAAAATCATTTAATTGATGCAGTTGCGACCAATCATTTTAACGTTTCTTTTTGAGAAGAGTCTGTTGCACGTAGGTCACAACAGAATTGAAACTTCGTTTTTGAAGGTTTGGCTGTTTGTCATACAAGGATTTGATGGATTTTCTTTCAGGGACCACGCCCTTGGAAAGCTCCTTTTCAAAAGTCTTTTGGAGTATTTGTACATCCTTTGGGTCCCATCTCACTCGGCAAACTTTTTTTGTCTTCGATTTTTTTGGCTGGTCTTCTTCTGATGAACAATGGTCAGAATCTGAGGTGGAAAGTGATCGGCGTTTTTTTCCAGCAGTTCTTTTAATATAGTCAAGATCAAGGTTTGAGTCAGAATCAAGATCAGTGTCTGCATCAGGGTTAAGATCAGTGTTTTTATCGAGGTCCAGATCAGTTTCTTTATCCATTTGATCCTCACTTACTGCCTCTGTATTCGTGGAAGTCGGTGTATAACTGGCTTCCCGGATGCGAAGTAAACGTGTACCTACTTGAGCTCTGTGGACGAGGGGTACAGGTCTTCTATAATGCTTATGATGTACGCTAAGAGTGTGTCCGAGAAAAGATGTGAGATTGGAGGTGTACATGCTGTCTTGTTTATGCATCTGTGATTCAGTTGCAGCGTGACATCTTAGGGATCTGCAATTTACTAATTCCGGCTTCAATAATTTGGTCTTCTTCACGAATTCTGACATAGCAATAGAGCCATCATAGATTGAGTCCTTTTCAAATGGTCTAGGAAATAATAAATCTTCAGGTTCTGAAGACAAGCCAAAATGAGGTTTGAACTTCTTTAGAGTGTCAATTCCATTCTCCATAAATTTCGTGATCAGTATTGGCACTGGAGTATCCCCTTTACCTGTGACATAAAAAATCTTTATTTCAGATCCCTTTCTTCTTTCTTCTGCAGTTAAGAAGTCTTCCTGATAGTTCCTGTCGTCATCTCCAGTTAACCGAGAGTAATTCAGCATTGTGGCACGACAGACCTCTGCAGGTCTCCTGCGGCATAGTAAAATTATATCCACAATTATGAGTCGGCATAAAGTTTCAAAAGTCCGCCTCGAGGGATTTTCCTTCAGAGCCTCAATGGTTTCGGGATAAAGTCCTTCTGCTCTCAAACTTGGTGTTCTTACATCTTCATCCAATGGAATAACTTCGTTTTTATTTGCCAGATTCCTCTTCCTCGTTGACTCGCATGTAGTGCCAATTTTATACCTCCATTCAAATCGCATGATATCCAGCCATTCATTCATGTTTGCCTTGACTTTATCCTTCTCAAATTCTGGCATTGTTTTACTTTGAACGGCATTTGACTTAAGAGCCTCTGCACAAATTTTCAAAGCGTTGCAAAATCTACCTGAAATTCCCACTACTTTGACTGCTCCAGTGTTTTGATCAAAATCTGCTAGAGATTGGACCCCTTTGATGACCAAGTCGAACTTCTTGGGGTCAATACAATCTGTAAAATTCTTCACAAGTTTTGCAGGAGAAGGATTTTTACCCTCCGCCTCATCTTCTTCTTGCTGTTCATCAATTGTTATGTACAGTCTTGCTAGGTCTCTCATCACCTTCCGAATATTTTTTATGTGCTTATGTTCTCTTTTACTCGTGTATAAAGGTAAAGCCACGTCAAGGATTAGGGGATCTGTTCTTGCAATCAGAGTGACCATGTTATTATGCATTGCATTCAGTATATCCTTTTGAAAGGATTCAGGAATATTGTCAGGTGTTGGAGTTAACATTTGCATTGACGTCTTGACTGCGCGACGTCGAGTAGTCCTCTCGTCCTCATCGTCACGCTCTGTACTAGACTTTCCTGGGCACGTAGTTCTTATATGTAAAGATAGATTTTCATTACGAATCGTTGCAAGGCAGTTATGGCATGTACCATGTGTCGCTCGCGTTGGAATATATGCTTTATGATTTGGTCTTTTTTTGGTTCTAATTTCACTCTTTAACGGAGCCTTAAGATTCAGCTCATAATTCCCTCTGCGCCGTAACTTGCCTGTAATTTCTCTTACTTTTTTATTCATTTCTTAAACTTTTTTCTGGGACTCCAGCAAGTCCTCTTGCCTCTTCTGCTGTTCTTCTTCACTTGCTCCCTTGATCATTTTTACAATGCGATTATGTTCAGCAAAAATTACCTGATATTTAATCATATCTTTTACATCATCTTCATCCTTGTGGTAAGTTTTTAAGTGATCTGGAAAATGTGTCACGTCCTTGGAGCACAAACTGCAGTATGTAATGTGCGTCTCCCACTTCCTTCCTCCACCATTCAACTCCTAGAAGGTCAGACACAAAATGAGCATAAGCTAAACCAATTCAGGGTGTTATAAAAGTCTGTCACCCCACCTTCTAAAATTTTTATGGTTGATCCTAGAAATTTGAAACTTTGGGAATTTCATTCGACCAATGAGAGCTACTTTCGGACCTATTCAAAATTTCGGGGGAGGGGGGGGGCGGTCCCAGGGCGGGGCGGGAGGACCCAACTTTTTTTCCTCAAATACAAACCACTAATTTTTAATACATCATTTGATGGAGAATAAAGACTAAGAAAACTGGCGCAAATCGTAGCTCAAAAGCTCAATCCGATATCGAGATAGCGCAGTTCAAAGTTTAGTGCGGGAGGGGTGGGGAGAGAGTCGCCGCGCCAACGTGCGCATTGAAGCGGCGACTCTCCCCACCCCTCCCATTCGAAACTTTGAGCTGCGATATCTCGGCAACGGATTGAGCTTTTGAGCTGAAATTTGTGCAATTTACATTAGGTTTTTAGTCTCCACTGAATGATGTATTAAAATATAGTGGTATCCATTTAAGAAAAAAAAGTTGAGGGGCCTTCCCCCTGAAGATCCTCTCAAAATTCTGAATACACCCAAAAGTAGCTCCCATTGATCGAAAGAAATCCCCAGAGTTTCGAATTTCTAGGATCAACCATAAAAATTTTAGAAGGGGGAACAGACTTTTATAGCACCCTGTACAAGTGTACAGATGAGGGTGAAAGTTATACTATGAGCTTCATAAGTGCGCACAAGGATCATTTGGATTACATTTTGCAAAAAGGAGCCACTATTTCTGGCCCATTTTAGAAAGAACATACATGCCATTGGTTTCCCTATGCAGATATGTGCTTTTATGGAAGAGCCAGAGATAGTGGTTCCTTATTGCAAAATGTAGTCCATTTGATAAAGGACCAGAATGATCATTTTTACCAAAATCTGGTGCTTTGCAGCTGAATATTTTCCGGGCTTTATTTTAGGGGTACAGAAAATATTACAGGTTAAAAACAAATTGCTTCAAGACTTAAGGGATTCATTTTCCTTTTACAAGTTTGACAATTAGCTCATTTTTTAGTGAAAACAGGATGTTCAGCATCAGGCAAAAACCGGTGAAAATCAGGATTTTTGAACCGACAAGCAAAAATCAGAAAAATTGCTTTAAAAATGAAGATTTTTGTTTCTTCTCTACGACTCAAAACAGACTGTTATACAAATTCTGGGAATCTTCTCGAAAAATTCAAGCAAATATCAGGCGAAACGAAATGGAAGATCAGAAATTTTTTTGAGAACAATCAGGCAAATATCAGGAAAATCCACTAACACATTTCACTAGATACTTTGAAAAAGGACTGTGGACCAATTAAATTGCCTCTGGTCGAATATCTTAATGGACCACTAGACAAGGTACGAATTTAAACAATCTGATACATGTTTCTTAACAAGAATTGCACGTAGAACACGATTCACACAACGAAAATTACTGAAACCAACTCCTAACGAAGATATTAACGTTTTTATTTCACATTGGTTACGAGGAATTTGAACTGCCCGCTCACAAGAAACTCAAAGCTCTACGTGAGTCAAATCGCGCACTACAACGGTTTCTGCAAGCCTCTCAATCGAGCAATGTTCATTTTCCACCATATGTTGTTCAAACTATTAGCAATTTGCTACAGCTGAGCCAAAGCGTCAAGATTGAGGTTGCCAGATTTTTATATCGCAGAGACTGTCATGATAACGTTTAGCGCACGATGTGAATCACGTTGAGCATTGAGTTTTCATGAGCGGATGGTTTGAATTTACGCATCAAGAAAAATTGAATATCTTCGTAAGGTGTTAATTTCGGTAATTTTTATCGTATGCATCGTGTTCTACATGAAATTTAAGTTACAATGCATGTATCAGAATGCTGAAATTCGTACCTTGTCTAGTGGTCCATTTTAGCTTTTTTATTTATTTTTCTAAGTTTTGCCTTTTTATTTGTTGCAGTGGTCAAGTTTTTAAGCACCACAGAATTAAAAAAAATTAAGTTTGCTCGACGCGTCCTTGCAGAATTAATGCGAAAAGTTCACTTTTTCAAGGAAATAATTGACCAAGAAAGGTTCCAGCGTCACTGCTGCCAAGTCTCTAATCAGTGAGTGCGAATTATCACCATAAAATAATGAGCCTTCGGCATCGATTCCGTGAGGACGCTTGCATCAACTCTCTAGAAAGAAAACTAAACTAGAAAGAAAAAAAATTTTCTTTCAATATTTCCCACTCTGATGGAATAGTACTTACTTTTTCTGTAGATCCAGATCCTATGGGTTCATCTTCATTGAAGTCATCACCTGTTTCTTCAGTCAAAGAGTCTGGTGCGGTCAGCGGATTGACATAGTCTATTGGCGCTATAAAAATAATACAATTAATTAAAAAATGTATTTATATAATATTCAGATTATCTTAACTGAAAACATGACTTAGAAATGAAAAAAAGCCACTCAAGCTGATTGAGGAGGAGATGAAGGGTCCAATTGTGTCTTCAGAATATTTTGGCAATGAGTTTTTCTTGCATAGAGTTGAATGAATTTTAAGAAACAATTCAGCGGTATTTATCAGCTGCAGTAACTATGTTTATACATCTGCAAAAACCTCAATTTATCAGACTTGAAAATTGACTTTTAATGTTTTCCAAGAAGACTTAACAAAAGTAGAAATTACAACAAACCCAATGGTATGGACAAATTTATAACCATTTTTGGACAAATTCTGAGCTAAAAAACGTTGTCAATTTAGTGCTCCTTCCATGAGTCACACGTGTATGTTGCTGGCAGAAAATCACTGTTTTTTTTTTGATGAGTAAATATTGCAAAATGAGAAGACAACGTCATTTACCTGAATCATGTGAGACTGCATTCATCTCCCTTTCAAGACTGTCCTCAATCCATTTGGCCATTTGAGCACTCTGCTCTTGCGTTAAATCGACAAAAGATGTGATTACATCACTTTCCTCCAAAACATTTGTGTCTTGTACAAAGTTGTCTTCAAAACTAAGAACCTGTGTCACAGACAACAAAACGAACCTTAGTAAATACCCAGTGTAAAAGATAAGATAAAATTTCCGCAAAAATTTCCATGTGTTCAAAATTGTTTAAATGTGTTGTGTGTATTGTTTGTTGTGTGTGTGTGTGTGTGTGTGTGTGTGTGTGTGTGTGTGTTGTTTAATTGTGTGTGTTCTTTTTTTCTCTCTTCTCTCAGAGCCTCACGGAACACAAACTTACATCCAGTGGGGGGAGGGGGGTAGCAGAATTTTGTTTCTCATTCCACACAATATCTATGCGATAGGTCTTCTAAAAAAATTGCAGAGCTGCATTTGGCCCCATGAAAAAAAAATAAAAAAATTGACACTGAAATTTCGACACCCCGTGCTGAAAAAATTCCAGCGATCTACACATAGATTTTCATCTTCATCAGCTGGAAAGTAACACTTTCTTCTGTATCTCTAGATTCAGACATTGATGGAAGGAAAATCTAAACAGAAAGTGTGATTGAACCAATACATACTGCATCTCCTGATGTTTCAACTGATAGTGTGCTTTGATAATCTTGAGAAACCGATTTCGGATCTAATTGTGGGTCACCAGGAACATCAATCACAATCGCATCCTTCAATACAGAAATTTCCTCATCCGCAGTCATCTCCTTGGTGATATTTTGAGGTGTAAGCTCTTCCACATAAGTTAAAAGATTATGGAGCAAATTCAGTATTTCTAGACAGAAAAATTAGAGAGAATAAGAAGAGTGACTCGAGAAGAGGGTAGAAAAAAAGGTCCTGATACACCAATGCAAAATGTAGAGCATATTATTTTCATTGTAAGTTGAGATCTTTACCAGAAAGCTTCCTAAGTCGTTTACTAGGACTTGTTCGTTTCCTAATATTGCCTGATATATTCTAAACAATGTCCTGAATATTCACATCAGATTTGCTTTATTTTTCTGATCATATTCCTGAAACTTTTGCGACAATTATGTGTCAGTCGTAGAGAAGAAACAATCCTGATTTTAAGGACACTTTTCAGCGATTTTCCTGATATTCGCCTGATTTCCTATCTCAGGTGGAAGCTGTTGTCCATTTGATACCATGCTCTAAGAAAGTAAACTTTACGAGGCTTGATTGTTGAGTCATCGGACCAACGGAGAACTACGCTGACAGCAAGCAACAGCTTTTTGTGGAGTAATCTGGCATCCCTGACTCAATTAAAACCAGTTCTCTCCTCAGGCTTTTTCTAAAGTTTTTATCAACGATTAGAAAATGAATTCTATCAATTCAGATCTGCCAGACTACTCTTCATGAGAAACTTTTTCCTTCCAATCTATGGTCTAATCAATGGTTCAGATGATTTTAAAAATCTGATAGCAAGTTGAAATACCTCTAGGAATGCTAAGACTTGCAACAGTTTTACAATTTCAATAAATCCCCTCCTCCCCCTTGACAAAAAAAAACCACAGTGACGTGACTTGGTCCCCTTTAAAAAATCAGGTTTTGAAGGCTTAGCCAGGGATTCTCCCTTTGAAAGGTAAAGCCAGGTACTATTTTGGATTTTTACCATTTTTCTTTTTAATATTTTATCCAACTGAGGAAGGCTGAGTTTTCAGCCGAAACGTTTTGGTTTTATTCGTGAAAAGTAGCCTTGTTACCCGCTTTTTAAATTGTTTTTCTATTGAATTTTGAATAAGTGTTCGAATCAAAGTCAAAACAAAATGCCTCTTGTACCAAAATGTTTATATCTTGTGCACCTCACCTGTTGTAGGATTTTGGGCTGTTTCATCGTACAGCACTCCATTCTCCTGACTTTGAGCAACAGAAGCAAGTTTTGAGTTTTTCTCTCCTTGATTCGTAATATCTTGGAAAGGCACTCTGGGCAGGACACTCTGCTCTGAAAAAAAATACAAAGGAAAAGAATTAAATAAATTCAGTAGGTGGTTTAGGGTTATCTTTTGAATGCTGGCAAAGGACCCTTTACAATTGGGACAAAACACCTATTCCATCAAATTTGATGAGCTTTGAATAACTTGACTCGGGAAACTTTCTCACAAGCCGCTAAGTATTCATTCTCTAATTTGCGTGGGTTTGCCAAATTGTGAGAACTCTGCGCTCTCTCTACCGCTTCAACAGGCCTCATCTTGAACACACTCGCTCTTATTTCTCCTGTGTTCATCTGTCCTTGTTTTCTTGTTGATTCACATGACTTTCTCTTTTGGTCTGTCAGTCGCAGAAAACTTCCTAAACAGTTACTGTTTCTTGTCCGAGCAAAATGTTCCAATAGTTGATGCAGGCAGCATGCAACAGCACAAGCAAAATTCTCGTAAAACGAACATACACCATTTTAAGCGCAAATATATAGAGGAGAAGCTGTAAATAGAATCGTTATCAGCCTGTGAGAAATTTTGCTAAGAAGGATAAAGCACAAAATGCAATCGCCGCTGAGTTTTGCAAGTTGGCACAATGATAGTCCATGGAAATCAGTAAAGCATTTTCACTGTTTGGGCCAACACAGCATGTAAAAAAGTCATTGAAAATTGCGCTCTGGAGCGTGCAAACTCAAATTAAGCAGTGCTGCGTCAGTAGCCAGTAGTGAAGCGATCAGAGCACGGTCGCAGCGGCCAAGCACAACAACTTTGTTGCCACTGCCCCAGGTACACTGCCTTTGTAGCTCTACAGGTAAGTTCCTCAACTCGCAATAGCAAGGTCTTGAGTTCGAATCCATATCACTATAGTTTTTACACTTCTTATTCCTTTTGTTTGTCACCATCATTTAGCAACTTTCCTCAAACGCGAATTAATAACTTTTTTCCTGAGTCACTGTTTAACACCCATTTTTCCTTTCAGTTGATTCATTCGTAAACATTCACTTGCACTTGAGTATTTTCCACCCAACTTACCATGCTTTACCCGAGTTGCTGAATAACTATGACAAAAAAAGAAAAGCGACGTAAAAACTAGAGCAAAACGAAAGAGTGCTAAGTAATTGGGGTAGTAAAAAGTAAACGTTGTTTTACCATCAATTAGAGGCGCATTGCACATTGTATTTTTCAATTTGCTGAGGATGCCGTCAAAACTAGTGATTCTGTCGCTATGTGAGATATAGTCAAGAAAGGACTTCGTCTCTTCTTGAACTGCGGGACTGAACTGGTTCTCCGTCACCACCTGCAATCAAATTATGTCCGATAAGTAAAACTATGAAGACAATATCAAACATTTAGAACAGAATACTTGCAAATTGGAGGAGTATCCAAGGACAATAGATAGTCAATGATTGGGAAGGAATCTGGCAATAAAACTTTAGTTTCCAAGATTTTTAGGCTGTTTCAGAGCTACCGCCTCCTCTCATCAGCGCCAACGCAACTGAGACGCTGAGAAGGCAAAACAAGAGTTTCCTCATTTCAATATTCCTGCTGTTTTGGGTATAATACATGTAGTAGCTTTTTACCAAAAAATTTAAGCCGGTATGAAAACTTGTGCTAAAAGCAAAGGCAACGCAATTGATAATTTTAACTGCAGGAACTGGGTCAGTACTTTACAGAATTGATATATTTTTTGGAAAAATATGAATTTATATGGAATAGGTAAAGACTGATGGAAATCTTGAAACGATATGTTTAAAAATTATGAATATTCTTAATACCCACCTTTTTCACCTTCACCTTCACCTTCTTCACCTCCTGTACCACTTTTTCTCTGCCATGATTACCACCTGTAATACAAAGAAAATATTGAGTAACTAATCAGTAAATTAGTGATTTCAAAAATTTAAAAACTCCAACAACCTGGCGCGCAGCTCAGCAGCACTATCTTAAACCTCAATAAATCTTGGACAGAAACTCAGAGCTCACATTTTGTCCGCTGATGCAGTCCTTGACTTGAGAGCGATCAATAAGCTGCACCACTGGCCAATCAGTGAACTTAGGCTGAACTTAAGGTGATTCGTCACGGTCTCTGGCGTGCGATATATCGCATCAATTATGTCAAAAATCTCAGCTTGGTCGGCTATGTCTTATCGCTGCTTTGTTGTGGCTAGGTCAGGTGCATTCACAACAAGCTAAAGGCACCTCTTAAATTCCTGACAGTATATCGTTTATTCTACCTGACAAAGGCACGACAAAACAGCGATAAGACATTGCCGACCAATCATGCTTCGCTGTTTAACCTATGTCCGCCAGACAAACACAAAATTTCAATAATCGGCCTGCAGCACCAGTACATGATCAGTCTGACTGCATTGTGATGTAGGGTTCCAAAACCGATATAGCCATCAGCAATACATCACTTGCATATATTTACTAATTAGGTGCAATGTACATTGATTTACTACTGCTAAGCCTCCTTACTTGCCTCAAAAACTGACTCCATAGCCAGCAGCATGCTGAGCATGAATAACTGACCCTACTAAATTCAAATAGCAAGGGAAATCTCGGCTCCTCCTTGGTCGACAACTGTGGCACTTATCGAAGCTCCTAAGTACGCACTCCTCTGTTTGATGCGGAAACTGCTGATGAGAAGTTGACAGCTGGCGAGTGAACTCAGACTCAGTTCAATGAGTGAAGGAGAAAAAAAAGTGGCCGAATCAACCAATGAGGAATCGCATATTCACTTGATTCGAATCGAGTCAATTGTTCATGACCAGTGATGCAGTTAGACCTGTTTCACGGAGCCCCGTTTTCTAGCGACTCGCTAGAAACTCCGAAGGCGCTATTTTAGAAGCTTCCAAGCTCCCACTAATTTCTATGGGACATAAAGGAGCCTGAGTTAAGGACATTTGGCAGAAGCTTCTAAAATCTAGAATTGTTGGTTAGTGCTGAGTAGAGGTGTGGTCCGAATGCTATTTTGTGATTAAAAATTACCAAATTTTTCTCAGAAATCGGATGAAAAATCGGTATATCGAATAAATACAACGATGTATCGTTTTAAAAAACCAGTAAAATCGATTCCTCGTGAAAAATTACGTAGGCTTGAATGCTTGATGATGCAATTGCGTGTCTGAGGGCACCTCCACCGACCCGAATGAGAAAAAAACCTGATTTTTTAGGCATTTTAACGATGCAAATATTCGAAGGGCTTGAGCACCAAGTTCCCATTCGAATTACAGCTGCGGACGATTTTTCCCGTAATCTACATGCAATTTGGCCACCTTTTTTCCCTATTCGGATTGTGTAGCACTCAAGTCAGGAATTTCGAACACCCCTACCAAGTACTTCTCCAAGGTATGCGTGAAGAGGGTATTTGATGTCCCTCACTTGAAGAATATTCTGGTGCGCAGTAATGGAGTTCCTCAGCCCGTTTCACACGCTTTAACTTTAGTGCGAATGGAATAACCAGTGTGGTTAACAACTCCTGAATTTTTTTCACCAAAATGTTGACATCTCTGTCTTCTAATGATTAATTTCAGGTGATTAATGATGGGCAGTTCAAGAAGCTCATGGATGCTGAGCCGGTGGATGATAACATGAGCTCAGAGCTTAATGCCAAGATTGAAGAGAGCAAAGGATCATCAAAACCTGAAGTTCTTGATGAGATCCAAGTCCTTCGGGACCATCTCATTAAAGAAAACAAGGTTAATGAAGTGCTCTGGATCCAGAATGTACTCATCGAGTGCTGCTATGTTAAGTTGTGTCTTGCTCACAATTTGTCAGACAACATGGAGCCTATACCTCTTCATTTTATCTGTAAGTTTCACTCACAACCTTCAGTAATAATTGTCTGCCATCCACCATAAACCATCACCATGGACGTTTTTCCCATGTACTTTGCAACATGCTGCCTGCTATGAAGGTGAAAGTACTCATTCTCACTCAAAGAAGAATGTGAAAATGGACCAAATTATTGACACAGAAACTAACAAATTCATATATTTTGAAGACTGGAGCGATGCTTTATTATGTCTCTATTGTGCTAGTACTCTTTTAACACTCAGTAGATTAAACATTGAATGCTCTGAATTATTCATTGACTCGTAGAAAACAAGTGCATTTTGGCCTCTCCACTCGTAAATTTTGAGTCTAAAATCACTAGAAATAACATGAAATCTTAGTTATTCTCTATTCTAGAAAAATAAACTTTTCTGAGCTTTTGAAGGTTTAAAAAGCGTTTCTTAAAATATTGAGTTGAAATTCTGGGAAAACATGGCTATCAAAGTCTCATCCAAAGTCATCTCTTCTTCTGAACCGTCTTCGAATTTTGTGTTCAGTTATAAAACTCACCTCCCTTAGTAATTTAGAACATATTGCGTGAAGGATATTTCCTGTTCAAACAACATTGGTTCCCTCTCAACAATATACTAAAAGTTTACCATGGTTAGACCTTGAATTCCTCCCAAAATGCTGGTACAATTGTCTGTGGGATTGGACACTAGCCGGAAAAAATTATCCTTGATTCCTTTTTCACCATAGCGTTGCTTCTATTTCAGTAATGAATCAATCAGTCCCCCTCGTACCATGGACAAGTGAGCAAGAGGACATAATGTTGTATCAACCATTCGTCTTATTTCTACAAAAACTTGGATTGAATATTCCTGGTGAAGCTGGAAACATGTATGCTCGCATTTCTTATGACTGGAATCCAAACATTCTCTTTGCTCTCGCTAAGAAACTTGGGCCCATTGATGAGAGTAAGTATTAGTAGGTTTCTTTTTTAAAATACAGTAAGTGCTACATACTCCCTTTTAATTCAATTAATTTATAAATGTTCGTTCACTTTAGTATAAATGCATCCAATTAAAAAGACTCCTCCGAATATAGTTTTTAACATGAATTCTTAACTCTGATCAAATGGAATTCAAATTATTATTAATTATTATTAAAAATTATTGTTATTCAAAGACATCATTTGCAGTTCTGCTATTAAACTAATTTTAGTTCTACACTGAAAAAAAAGTTTACTATTTACAAGGCGGAGCCACCTTGGACCAAGTAACCGTTTACTCAAAAAGTATCGACTAGTGACAGAAGTTTATTCCAACAGAACAGAGTTCGATTGAATCAAGTACACGCGTTATCTCAAACCAGCACTCCGCGTGTATTTGGAGTGAGAATACGTTTACTTAAAAATAGTAACTTCTGAGACGCAAAAATATTTACTGAAATTAAGTTATCACCTTCGGTTTGAAAGGAGTACCTGTGATCTTGATCTAAGTCAACCGTTTACTTAAAATCAGGAAACTGTTGCGTGACTGACGAGCGCATTTACTGGTTATAGGCTGACGGCTGCTTTAAAATTAGTAAACGGCCAAGCATCTGGCCGGAATAGGTTTTTCCCAGGCTTGTTTACTTATTTCTAGCCAATTGTTGTTTTAAATTTAGTAAATAGTCACTGCAGGTATGCATACTGCACCCATACCATATGTATTACTATTAATCAATAATTGCAAAAAATGGATTAATTTATCCAATTTTTGATGAAAAAAATTATTCAATTGTATATCTGAAGTATCAAAGACTCAACATGGCAAGTACCGATTTGCAAATTTTGGCCTACCTTTCGGGATTTGAACCTGGGACCTACAGTTTATGAACCCATACCCTACCTACTCAGCCATTGGGGCTTATGTCTCCATCAGCCGAATTTACACCATATAAGTGATTGACTTAGGCTCTCACCACTTTTGTGATAGTGAATATACGTGACACCTGATGGGTTAAGATTTTTTGAACCCGGAAAGATGAATTTGGAGCAAAAAAGAACTATGCGTGTTACTGTCGTCACTTTTTTTACGTTTATATTTTTTTCTTTCCCATCTTATATTAATTTTTAATCTTTTTAAAAAGAATTCAATACAATTCACCTTTTTTAAAATTTTCTCTCTTCATTTTTTCTTGAAGAATCGCTGACTTTAAAAAAATAAGAATAAAGAATGAAACTCTTCAAAAATGTTTGTAACATAATAACTTTTTATTTTTGATGACTGAGATTTTTACATTTTTTTAAATATTAATAGTCTTATTCAATTCGACTATAATATTCAAGACTATTCTGGACCATTTATTAGACTTTTCTATTTCAATTAGAATATTAATAGTTCTATTTAATAGTTGTAATTGATTCACATCGAGCGGAAAAGGAAGAATGTGAGCACTATAAAAGAAACATTAATAGTTCTAATTCCTTACTTTAAAAAATAAGATTTGAAAAATAAGCTTTGAGATTTTCTGGATGAAGGCATCTTTTTCCTTGAACAGTCACAATTTATTCATAAAAAAAGTTCAATCTTCAATTACTTTTATATTTTACTCAGTTTACATAATCACACGCATGACGTTCTAATATTTTATTGTATAGCTGCACTCCTTTTTCGTTACACTCTCTAAAGTTGATAGGAAGGTGGTAAAGAAGTGCTGGATCCACCCTATATTGCAGGGAAACAATGTGAAAAGGTTCAAATACTTCAATTACAGCAAAAAATGTTGAGCTCTTATGAGTAGGTATCGGTACAAGACTGAGGAGGGGGGGCAGAAAGATCGGTCCCAAGAGGCCCTTTGACCCAAAATTTCCCCGGACACAAATGAATCAAAGTTTTAAATATCAACAATTTTGCACTCGCAAATTCCTTTCGAAAATAAAGAAAAAACTTTATTTTTTTTCAGTCCACGTCCATAAATCAAAGGGACCCGGAAAATCGATATTGAACAGTGTATACACTATGTAGCAGTAGAGTTATTCGATTATCTTGATCTGTCATCTTGGTGGGTGACATGCTGAAAAGTATGATTCTCTCCACATTTTTAAATTTCTTCCTCGGCCCTTGGCATAAGCATGCAATTTCTTTGACCCTTTTTAATTCTATCTGCGAGGGATCATTCATTCATCAGGACAGGGAAAGTAAGGAAGAAAATGCGATTGTTTAGTGTGAAGAAATACATTGTCCAATGAAACTGAACTGATGCAATGCAAAAAACTCCCGGCTTTAATCTACTTAAGTATTTAAGTCCTCTTAATGAGGCACCCTTCATTGAAAAATAAAAATTATAACTTCAAATGCACAGTGCCGATCTATATAAAACAACGCAAATATTTTCCTCCTCTTCTCCTTCTTTACTTCCTTATTTATTTAATTTCTTGTTGACGCCGAGCAAATGAGTGATTTCTCAAAGGACAAATTAAATAAATTTCTCCCTAAACAACAATTATTTTGTAGACAAATAAAATGGGCATCTTGATTTTTTAACTTCCGTCTTATTTATTCCGTCATTAATTGTGTTGGTTTAAGCAGATGTTAACGGCATCTGGCAGCAATTGCATGCATCATCCTCATAGGAAGCGTCACCACCCCGTTTACTAATTTTAAGGAACCTGGTTTCTTCTTTCGAGGCAACGGGTTTTCTTTCATCAAGCGAGTTGTTACTTGGAATAAGGCAACGAGCATAGTGCTAATTGGTTTTTCCCCCTCGGAAGGCGCTCAGCCCGTTTACTAATTTTAAGCATACTGATTCCTTTCCTCGACGCACCGTGTTTTATTCGATGAAGCAAGCTAATGACTTGGAAAAAGGCAACGGGCGATCTCTGAGGGCGTTTGCCCCGTTTTCTAATTTTAAAAAAACGATTTATTCTTTCAACGCAACGTGTTTTCCTCTTTCAAGCAAGCTGGGTAGTTGAAAAAAGGAAACGACGGTGCTCTGAGGACGTTGTCCCCGTTTGCTAATTTCAAGAAACAGGTTTCCTCATTCAAGTACACGATCGCTTATTTTGAAACTCCATTGATTTAATTCAACAAAATAGGACTTTCTTGTTCCAAGACAATTCTGAATGCCCACATTGAGAAACCCAGTGTTTTTTTCCAAGGCGGACCCGCCTTCGAAATAGTAAAAAATCCGCGACAACGCGTTTACTTAAAAATAGTACACCTTTTTTTTTCTGTGTAAATACTTACATCTTCTTTAGGAGTTGGTATCCGAACTTCCTATTGTGTGAATCATTTTCGACATAAGATTTTGAAGAGGAAACATGTACCACAGCAGTTTCATCACTTCACCTGATTAGTTTCCATGGCATCATTTGTTGTAATAAATTATTCATCAAAATTGTTTAAGAAAAACTGAAGTTCGATCCAACCCTGCTACTTAGACATGATGGCTCAAAAGATATCAAGGACCCCTTATTTGATGACAATCATTTTGCTGTGCCATGTCCAAAACTTGCTCCATTCGCCAGCGATACACTTCCAAAAATACCATGCAGCAGTTCTCAGGTGGAGGCCAATTGGATGCAGGTGGTTCAAAAGTCAAAGAGCCTCTCTACGTTTCCTAGCTCGTGAGTATTTATCATTCTCTATCTCTCAGAACTGCTTGAGTATGGAGATTCTCCTAAAATGACCAGAATATTAGAAAGAGGATTTTTCTATTGTGCAGGCGTTGGGGTGCAACTTGAAAACGGTCATGTTGAAAAATCGAGTCCCATTAGGTAGTTTCATCTAGTTTTATCTATGAAAGTAATAAGTCATACAAAAGAGCAAATTTGAGGATTTTCCTAGATGATGCTGAAAGTGATTATTTCAGTTAAAACTAGGCAGGTCTGTACACAGGTTTAAATGGGGGAAAACAGGCTGATCAGGGTAAGAGCATTTTTTTGCTTTAACGTGTGCCCACATTAAGAAAACTTGACCACCTCTCAGGGAAGTATTTAAGGATATATTTTAATCAAGATAATCACACTTTCAACTTGTGAGTGGTGGGAATGAGGGTCAGGGCAACCGATTTTGCAAAATTGCTTGCGGCAATGTAATCGCATTTTGACACTTTTCTTATTCAACTGAAACAGATTCTTTGAAGCTGAGGAGCTATGTGCGTCTCACCACACAGTAGAATTTAATGTATAGTAGTGCTTTTAGCCCTGGGAAACTGTTTTGGATCCTTTACATTCTTACCCAAATTACTTAAATAACTGATAAAATACCGTGTGTACTCGCTATTTCGAAGCCTTTTAACTCGAAAAGCTCTATAATTCGAAGGTAAGGCTGATCCTCTTGAAAAAAATCCCTGTAATTCGAAAATTTTCAATTTATTTAGTCCCACTCGATACTTCGAAATTTTGAGCACCAAGCCAACTCGTTAATTAGCTCTATGATTTGAAGTGACCTTTGTAATTCGAATTGACATCTTGGACGCTCTGTAATTCAAAATCTTTTCGCCCGACGCTTTGTAATGGGCCTGTTGCAAACTTTTGCTAGAGCAAAACTAAGAGTTGTTTCTTATAGATAATGCCTCAAAAATCACGATGAGCGCATCGGCAAACTCTGAAATGCACTCATAACTTCACAATCTG